CAGTGTGCCTTTCTTACTGGCCTGCTAAGTCCCAAGCCGCGGAGTAAGAAAACAACGAACCACGATTACGGATAAGGGATTCGAAGAAAGAAAAACGGAGAGTGTACCTACTAAACATATTAAATTTGTTATCTATATACATAGAGGAAAAAATTGGTAAACATATTGTACTGTTTCTGCACTCGATTATTGAAAAACATAGTCACTTCTTTTTATACTTAAGTCGGAGGTAAAGAAAAAAAGGTGTCAATACGCATAAGTATAAAACTACACATGACATAAAATTATATTTAAATATTAGTTAATTATTTAAATTGACTCTAAGTTAGTAAATGTAAAAAGTAATTAATTATAATTACAAGTTTTTATGAATACTATACCATGTCACTTTTGTACTGAAAAGAACCAGGAAGAAACTCCCCATTTGCTGCCATTTGGCAAAAAACTCAGCAGGAACTTCTTTTTCAAGTTCACATGTCGCTTATTATAAAGAAGGCTTTTCGCCCCTGAGAATTACTTAAATTACAGGTTAATTGCAGCCATGAGAGTTTTGTATTTAAATATTTAAGTTTTCGTTAATATTTTTATCCTATTTTAATACCTGCTTGTTCTTTAAAACAACAAAAATTTGCACTTTTCACTTTTGCCAATATTCACACAATTTCGAGGATTTTAAATACAAAAATTTCATAAACCCGAAGTTTAAGTAACTTTCTGGCACCTTTCTATATACTTTTAAGAATCTTAAGTATATTTAAAAATAATCCTTTTGAATAAAGATTATAACGACTTATACCCATTTTCACTAACGTAGAACAAGACATAGCTTAACTAGGAAACGCCTAATTACGAAACGCCTAAGCAGATGAGTTTAATTTCAAATAAATATTTTTTTGTTTTATCCCTTGACATATTTATATATATATACGCTAATGCCTAGTGCAAGGCGACGCATGACGTTAGGTGGTTCCTAGTCAATAGTAAAATGCATTTTTACACTAGGCGGTTCGTAAATATTTAGGCGACAGATTTTGGCGACTCCTGAGTTTAGTGAAAACGGCCATTAGAATAATAAAATAAACATAATATTAATAAGTGACTATCAAAAATTTCTATGTATAATTTTTTTATACAAATCTGTGTTTCTTATCAAGTTTGATGACCAAAAAGTTATGCTTACAGAAAAGTTAATTATTATGTTATATTTAATGTTTAGAAATCTATCAACAGGCTCAATGAATATATGAGGGATTTGTATGTAATGAATGAAAACGAACCTTCTTCGAATGTTTATAGTAAAGAAAAAATATATTGTTGAAACCACATAACAACAATAAAAAGAATCGAATTAGCATATGTAAAGTGATATTATTTATGTCATGTGATGCCAACATCGGACTCAACTCAGTAGGTATAAGCTACAGGCAGGGCCTACTGCACTCATATTTCCATGAGTCCAAACATAACATCACGAAGCATAAATAATATATTCTATATTTCACACTACAAAGAAAACAATAAAAAGAAGCAAATTAAGGAAGAAGTAGGCGGCCTTATTTTTAAGCATAATAATAAGCGTAGCAATCTCTTCCAGGCAAGGGAGCAAAACCAAAAATATATAGTACACTTTAAATCAATGGCGTAATTTTAGAGTGGCAAATCAGCAAAATGCCACGGGCCCCCAGGTAGAGGGGGCCCCCAGTCAGAGGAGAATATTTCTGACATTTATTATTATACAATTAGTAAAAAAAATCCGATAATTCGATTAATTTGCCACGGGCCCTCAAACAGTACAGTTACGCCACTGCTTTAAATACAGATATTATTGTAAACTAGTTATTTTCCTATGACTTCGCCAGCATCATTATAGCCTACGTCACCCGCGCAAAATGCACGTGAAAGGATTTTTAAAATCGATTCAGTATTTTCGGCGCTTATTCAATGCAAAGAAACTTCCAAAACATTTAATATTGCAATCTAGTTTCTAGAATTTAGAGCGTGTCTTAATCAGAATTAAATCGTTATATTAATAAGATTCGATGCGTAAATCGAAAGCAGCTCAATATATCATCAGTAACCGCATATAAATCACGAATGATCAATGTCGGTTATTTCTTCTAGAATGTCATGTAATAAGGCTGGACATATACTTCATTTTCAAAAACAATTTTTGCCATGTAATAAAATTGGTACCTATAGTATTTCTTATTCATAATCTTCCTACCTACACCTAATGTTGATCCAACAATCAGTACCTACAATAATTAATTATTTCAAAAATTATAATAGAATAACGACAATCTAATAGGTTTATTATTACCCTAAACACATCACACTCCTTTGTTTGGGCAGCCATTTAAAAAATATAGTTATATTAATAAGTCTTTTATTGTCTTTTTTGTCTTTTTTTGTCAAATTTATACTACTTCAATGGACGTGATGTGCCAGTAAATATATTTTATCACTTATAAAGATCAGAATTCGTTGAACCAAAATGTTTATTTTTTTTTTGGTTGTCGTTAGTATACGAGTGCCCTTAGTGAATGTTCGCCTGCGGGCATGTATGGCACTGTGTTGGCAGCCATCGCGTGCAGACGTGCAGAGGACTGACACATCCGGCGTGCAAACACCTCGCCCACAAATTCTATTTAATATACACGAGATAGTACATAAATAATTTAACGGTTACTGACAACATTAAGATATGTTTTAACCACACGTGTTAATCCAATCATCTTTGATAAAGAAAAAATCAAATGTCCATCTCAACTTATACTCGATATGCGTTCGATGCTTATTACAAGAAAGTTTTTCTTTTTCGCAAAGCAGCTATGGTATTCTACTATAAACATCGTCGAACTCTATGCTCTGACAGCGCTCCGTTTGTTGTCGAGCTCAAGTCTATTTTTTTATCAGAATAGCAGGGCAGGATCTTTTCTCCGTCCTCTGTCGCTATCTACCGATTCAGATGTTAACTAATTGACCTAAGAATAAGAGTACCTATGTGATCAAAGGCACTTACAACACAAACTTATCGTCTTAAAACAATAAATCACTGAAATAAAAATCTTCATTTTCAAAAATTGTTGTTTCCCTTAAGAAAAAGAATATATTATATTTAATAAACCTCTACATCATTAATTAGTTAAAGTAACTAATAACAATCGTGCCCATAGAATGTCAACGGGAGTTAATTAATGCGGTGCTGATTGAGCTGCTTTCATGTCGGCGTGCGCCCGCGCAGCATTGTTGTGTAGATCATGCACTTTGACATTAGGCACACGCCACCAATGGACATTTGTTTCTTTGTTAGTGTAGGACGAACTATGTCACTGCTATTTAAATTATAGTTTTCATATAAAATCATCACATTAGAATAATTAATATATTTTCCCTGTTAACAATGTAATCTATACTAATATTATATAGACGTAAAGTTTCTAATTTTGTTTGTTTATCAGATTTATCTTCGGATATACTCAGCCGCAAAGCGATTTTGTAAAAATTGAAACCCGAATTCGAATTCACTCAGGTGTCTGAATCCGCTTATTAAGGTAAAACTTAACTTAAGCTATACTTGCTATAAAAATACAAAACAAGATTGAATTATTAATACGTGTCTCAGATATTCTATCCATATGTTATTTCAACACTCACTTCACTTATGCCACGAAATGTTAATAACGTTAACGTTTTACGTAACTTTAATTCAAGGTTAAGCGGATGCACAGAGCTGAAGTCGCTTCCGTCGCTTCAAATTCGGTTTCGAATTTTTTACTAAATCGCTCTGCCTTTAAAAATCCAGACCCGAATTCGAATCCACTCATGTGGCCGAATTCATGTTATTTAGTGTAAAAATTCTATTAATTCCATTATTTGTATAAAAAGTACAAAACAAAATTTATTAAATATACATTTCTCAGATATTATATTGCTATGTCATTTCGATACTCGCTTTACTTATGCCACGAAACGTTTTTACGAATACGAAATTACCACTTCAAGGTTGAGCGGATGCCGCTTTTTGAAGTGAGACCTGAGTGTGACACCTGAGCGGATTCGAATTCGGGTTTGGGTTTTTACAGAATAGCAGGGCTGATCATGAAAATTCTTTAACCAACGGGAAGCTACATCATACGCGAATTCGCGGGACAACTACTACCTATTGTATTGTACTGTTAAATTCAAACGTCGTTGATTAATACTAAAATTTATTTTAATTCTTGTCAAAGTAATGTTTTGGTTCACTTAAATTCCGCTGGATATTTCCATCGTTTTCCCTAGGGTAATAAATGTATTATACTTACTAGTCTACAATTCAATGGTGGCGCCGTATAGCTGGGGTTTCAAAGCGGCATGTGCCTCCCATTATGCAATGCCCTTGGAAATCCCAAACGTGCTGGTGACCACTTACCATCACTGCTGACACCGCATGTAGGAGATAACATCGTCAAGAAACCCATTTGGAACGGACAACGCCCTGAAGAGTTATTCCTTTTAAAATTATAAGGTATTCTATACATTAATAATAAATTTCATGTTAACCAAATCGACCCAGAGAGAGCGTCAACTAGAAATTTTATTACGCAATTTTATTTATTTGTTTTTATTCATTAATAGCCTAAGAATATTGTTTTAAAATAGAAAACATAATAATGGTTATAATTCTTTTTATTTTCGTAATAAAATAAGTGTTAGATTTTGTAGTTTGCGTAACGAAATCCATCTAGTGTTTTCATAAAAAATAGATATTACACTATAAAAATGTAGGCAAATATGTTTCTTTTGTTCGGAGTTTTGTAAGACTAATCTATTTTTTTAATTAACTGCTTTATGTAAAATAAACTGTACGAAATTGGCTCAAACTTATACAACCTATTTTAAAATTAAATAGATTAAAAATTAGGTTCAAAATCGCTTGCGATATTGAAAATTTTCTGGTAATATTGTGTACTACTTTAGAGTGATATTATAATAAATAAATCAATGAAACACAAAAAAACTGACAACATCCATTTATTCCTATATTTAATCCCAACTGTCGCTTTCTTTGAAAGCTGTCACAGTTTTGCTTTTCGCTTCATTGCCGAATGTTTCTGTAACGGTGATTTCTGTCTCTTTCTTTTTTTCGTTCTGTCTCTGTTTGTCGTTGTCTGCGTCTGCATCCAAAGATTTTCGGCCGTTGCGCACAATATCTGGCTTTGCACGAGCGCCATCAGAATTTGATCTGACTATTTCAGTTTTCTTCTGCGGCGGCTCTGCTTCATCCACCTACAAATATTACAAAAAATAATAAGGGAGTTTAATTTTCGCTTATTAATCAGATTGTGATTATTTAATAACACCTTAAAGTGACTGAATAGATCAAAATATATTTCTAAGCAAGACTGACATCTTTAAATGTGTACGCACAGCTTCAACAGTTTTAAATGATTATATATGATTGTTTCAAAATAAGAGAATTCATTACACAATAATTAAAATAATTTCAATGTAAAAAAAATAACCCAATAAAATTATTAGAGAATGTCACAGTACAGTAAAAAAAGTATAAATCAAATGTATATACCGTTCTTGTTACGCATTATTAAGGAGATTTCATTTTCACTTATATATTATCTAATATATTCTTTAGAAGTTCATTAAAGATTGTGATTAATTAATAAAACTTGAATTGATCGAATACTGTCCTTATATTAACCCTATACTGTCCTTTTAGTGACCTTATACTGTATTTTTAAACGTTCCAGATTTATTATGAAAGAATTTGAAATACACATCATACCTGGAACACTCCTGAAGATGTCCTCTTCCTCGTGGTGGCCGTTGGCGAAGGCGCGCTGACGCTGTTGGAGCGGGGTCGAGCCGCGACCACCGGAGAAGTCGGTGGTGGTAAACTGCTTGTCGCTGTAGCGGTAGTGGGAGCTACAAACATATACTCGGTAAAATATGTACAGAGAAGCATTTACAGTTCACTGAAAAACAGTTCATCAAAAAACTGACAATACCTGTTTGGCTGTTCAACTGATCCGCCATTTTGTGTAATGATTACTAATGTTTGAAATCAATGCACTATTAATTAGAGATTTATTAGATAGGAAGGAACAATATGGAAATATTTAGAGCGTGTGCAATAAGTGTTTTAGTAAAAATTAGGGATCATGTTATAGACTTGTTTCAATGAATTTCATTGGTATTAAAATTTTACAGTGTTATATCGCTATTTCTAGTTTTTTTAATACTAATCATTTTACTACTTTTGGATCTAAAACAATGTATGTTCAATTATACAATAAAAATATTATTATAACTATTGCAAATATAATATTACTACTACTATTGCCTACCCCGCAAGGGATACGGTATGAAAATATAGATAGATTACTTAAAATGTATAAGGAGCAGATCACAATGAAGTCCCATAACATTTTAATATCAATTCAATTAATAATAAACACTATGTTTCAAATATAAAAAGAATACCTTGCCGAGGTTTAACTTCAGGTGTGGGTCTGAAACAAAAAATAAACAATATAAATATGTCTTATAACAGCTACAAGTATCCCATACAAACAATTGAAATCTTAGCAAGCATGTCGTCACAATGATAAAACTAATTCGAAGACAATGCCGAATAAATACATAAGTAGAGCAGTTGTTTGATCAAAATGTCAGTGTCAATTTTATGATGATCGTCAGTTGCCACAGACCGTTTATAAAACGAATATTGGCTCATGTCAATCGTGAATTTGATTGACGGCACGGACGTAGCTATAGCTTTGACAAGGGGGGGGGGGCAAAACAAAAAACAGAGCTCTATCTTTTACAAATTAAACATTGCCAGCGACTATAACACGCAAATACAATTATAATATATCATCATCATCATCATCAGCCCTTTTACGTCCCCACTGCAGGGGCTCAGGCCTACCTCATGGATGGTTAAGGAGTATGGGCCATGACCTTCCACGCTGGCCCAATGCAGATTGGAAGGTATTAACGACTGCAAATGCAGCCGGGACCAACAGCTTAACCTGCCTTCCGAAGCACGGAGTAGCTCGAGATAATAATTTTTTGGTCACCCATCCCGTGACCGACCCTTGCGAAAGTTGCTTAACGACAACGATCGCGGGCCGCGGCGCTTATCCACTACGCCACCGAGCTACTCTTATAATATATACGAATCTATAATATATAACTTAAGTTACTCTGAGTAAAGTGCCTTTAAATAAAAAGTTGTAATGTAATGTATGTATTGTAATATTTATTCAAAAGTAACAAAGTTGTTACTTCAAAGTACTGAACTTAGTATTTTACGTTTTATAGCTATCTGATTACGGGCACGCTCACAGCAACTATCTTTTTTGTCATGTATTTTTTTCTGTTGGACAAGTAAGATGGATATTAGTGGGGGGGCGTCCGGACCCCCCAAGACCCCCCCTTATATACATCCGTGATTGACGGCTATAAGTATATTGATTGTTTAGTATTAGTATTGAACTAATATAATGAAAGCTTAGCGCTACAGAAATCCTTATTGAAAAATGTATACAATAAATATTTATAATTGGAAAATTAAAATACTGCATACACACGATTACAAAAAAAATATTTTTAATGTATTCGTTATAATGAGCCTAAGCTAAAAAAGCTCAAGTGTAATGTGAATAAATTATATATTTATGGAACCCATCAAGGCCTTTAATTTGATATCCATATTGCTATGATTAAAGTACCATTGATGGCAGTTGAGTAGAAAGATTTAAAATTTTTTAATGGATGTAAAAACATTAACCCTAAAACAATACTCTTTTTGCGGTCGTGCAAATAAAAAAAAGGGAAAACCTTTTTCGCACTCTCGTGTTTCACCAAATGAAGCACCTATGTGCACATAGGTGCTACATTTTTCTACGCTCAAAAGAGAAATCATATAAAAAAGTTTTATACAAAGAGCGAGCGACCTCCTTTATAATGTTCAGTGAACTAATTCGATTTTCAAATCGAATATTTTCTTAAAAGTGCTTAAAGCAGAGTTACACAGCCAGAATCGAAGCATGCATGTCCAAGCTAATTGGCTTATAGTGGACACAAACGCCACCGTATTCATATGTCAAGGAACACGCCTCTAGGGGCAGTATCCATGTAACGGTCACCTACGACCTTTTTATTCGCTTTATTTTTTACATATCATTAAATAGATTAGTGCAATATAAAATTAATTGATGAGTGAACGGTACGTTGTCGTATGGAGTTGTGTTCGTTGAAGACTTTGTAAAGTAAAGGTGCAACTAATGTAAACATTATAAACCGTCTATATTTCTAAAGTCAAGACATTGTCACTTTAAAAAAGGTAGGTTTTAAGATGAATTAAATTATAATTGATCAAAATAGCATTTACAGTGCTGCATAGATTTATCTTTTAAAAAATGCCAAAGAAAATCAATACCAGGTGGTCATTTATTGTAAAAGATATTTATTAATATAGCAATGTGCAAAAAATTAACTAAATATTTGATAGAATTATTTTTTATATATGACATTTTTATTGTATGAAACAAATTTCTCACAAATCGTAATGTTGTTATAGTAATTTCTACTTCCTAAATATTTGCATTTTATCCCCTATATTTTTATTTAGGTATCCGTCTTCAACATGAATATATTAAACTGTCAATGTAATGGAGTTTTCTCGCAAACGAATGTCATATCTTCACTTAATAGGCTCATACAGCTGGCTATAAATCAGTTAGTTAGTAACACTGATAATGAAATATGGCATTCTCAATAACGAATGTTAAGTAAACGTTATTTATATATTACTACTGCCTCCTACACTTAGATAGGTTAACCATCATTTATAAATTGCTAGGATAGATATGTTTATTTTCATTACCAATGCTCAATGATATCCACGTAAACTGATAAAATAATTAAATTAAAAAAATAATATACATAAAAAAAACACGACTGCCGAAGTCGAACTAAAAGAAATAAGTTGTATTATAGCTTAGTTAAACAAAAATCTCATTGCAGTCGGGGGACCGTTCTGTAGGACGTATTAAATATTTCTTTTTAATATATTAATCCCAGTGTAACTCGGGATAATGTAACGTTTGTAATGATATTATACATTAATATCCGTTAAGTTACAAAAGTTATAGTGGAATAAAGAAACTAACATACGTATATTATCCCTAAAAACAATAGCTTGATACCAGCGTGCGAGCTACTCTGCTTCGGAGGTTGTTAACGAGGAAGTATATAAAAAAAATAGCATTAAAAAACCACCTCCACTAGACGACGACTTTAGCAAAAGTTACTTTTTGCAGGTAACGAATGGACCAAAGATAGTCATTACCGTTCCTTTTAACTTATATATTAAAAAACTGAAATTTGCAAAGTTCGAAACTTAGATATCAACATAAATACGAAAAAGTACAAATAGAATATGAGTGGTTTATGAGTTATTTAGTTTTATATATGAAAGAAAACCGGAAGGGTTGTCATGGAAAAATCAAGAAAGTATCGTAGCGACATCTAATTTGATTACGGGAACTATTTTTTTTTTAAATACTTCCTCATTCTTTTATACTTTCTCTTACCAACAAATATGAGACGTGCAAACCAGTAAATACAAACTGCACTATAAAGACCTCCGCTATTTTAAAATATAAACTCTATCATTATCCGCTAATCAGTCTCACAAAAGGCTGACGTTTGGCGAGCGTACAGCTGATGCAGTCCGTCAAACAAACCGTACCATATATGGTACGCGGCGCGACTTACCGATGACACTAGGCAAGTAAGTACATTTGATTGACTTGTAACGCTGCCGTTTTTGCACCGAACGAACGAAAGTCCTTAATAAGCTGTATTCCCGTCATTATAAACGATTTAATACGTCAACATTTAGTATTAACTATTGCTTTTCATTTAGTGTTAATCTTAGTATTTTAAACGTGCGACATAAAAAAGAGAGTTCATTGAACCAAGATTAAACCATGTGCACTAATATTATAAAGAGGTAAAGTTTCTTTATTTGTTTATTGGGGGGTAATCGCAATTATAATACTAATTCGATCATGACAATTCTTTTATAAAACGAGAAATCATATGCGGGCGAAGTCACGGAAAAACAGCTAGTAAATTATAAGGATAGCTTTCATTTGTTACTTACGTTGAAAAAGCTCCGAAACTTCTGGACCGATTTTAAAAATTCGTTCACCTACGAGAAGCTACATTATATTATGATGGCTTTAATTTACGTAGGCTAAGTCGCGGAAAAACAACTAGTAAATTAATAGTGAACATAATAAAAAAAAAACAAATTAACCATAAAGCCTCAAGAATTTCTTAATTATATCGTCAAATTAATGTCATTTTAAACACAAGATTTGAAAATGGCGAAACGATAATATGTTTGCAAAAATTGAAATAACGTATCTGATCTTTACTGATTTAAGCAGATAACCCGCTTCAGGTCATTTTAAGACTACGACAAAACCATTTGGCCATTTCCAGAGTTACGACGAAGTGAATTTTGACACATCACTGTAATAATGCAACATTTTGAAAACCGTTCACGGTAAAAAAAAAATATTTGCCGATGCGTTAGTTAAAAACAGACAGTGACCAAAACGGTTTATCTATATCAACTAACAAAAACATAGGAAAAACTACAGCTAATATCTATTATAGAACTATTTTACGATTTCGTTACTATGAAATATGTCGCTTGTAACATTATTCGTCACATTTACTTAGTAAATCACTTACTAATAGCTATTTATGTGATTAAAAAATATCCGAGACCCTTTTGCGGAACTTCTAAGCGCCCGTAATACCTCTAGGAGCGAATACCGCACGCAAAAGAATTCAATATCTCAGACTAGACTCTTGAGTATTCTAGTCGTTGTTACACATTAAACTAATAATCACTACATTTTGGAATGCAATAAATATATAAACTTAAGATATTGGTAGCAATCTGTATAAGTATAAATACATTGTTATTTTTTATATAAATTTTAGAGATTTTGCAGCCAACTCTAAAGTCAATTTTAAAAGGGCGCAGACACCAAAATCCTTTAACTGGTTTTGTACTTATTTGGGCGAAATAACGCCGAGCTTTAATTAAATACGAGAAACCACATTATTTCACTTCAACTTTGTTCGTTTTTTAACTTCTGGAAAAAAACTGCAAGAACTGCAAAGTCATTTAAACCGATTTTAACCAAAAGTTCTTGGCCGTGTAATTTATGAAATTATCGTTATATCGTCACAAACAAATAAATAAACAATCCAATCTTTCCTCTTTATAATATTAGTATAGATAAGTCACTCTGTAGCCGACTGTACCTATTATGCAGCACTATTACTATAATCCTGAGTTTGCGCGTAATTATTAACTTCATTAAGATGGAGTAATATTTTTTATACACTAAAGTTATATGATTTAATCTATTTAACATCTTATAAATAAAATAAACAAATATTGAAACGAAATATATGA